ACTACTTCTGTACAAAAAATGTCAGAAAAAGGAGGCAGCTGGAGTAGTACCCTCTACATCTCAGTGTGACATTGAAGGAAGTGCTGGGGGAAGATATCAACATATGCGGATAGTTTGACTACAATTTCTAAACTGTTTGTGGAAATTTTGCAGCTATTTATTTTCTATTCAGTATTAGTACTATATTACACCTCACAAAATATAGTAACTATACTGAAAAGAAACAGCATTATCTAGGTACAACAAGGGGAAAAGAATGTTTGAGCATATACAAAGTAGCCAAATATCTTCGGAGGGAAATTTTAAAACATCTTCCTATGAGGATAATGCTAGCCATATGACAGAGGAAAATCAGAGTGAAGTTAGTTTCAGCCTCCTACAGATCCACTTCAACAGGAGCACAATTTGTGCTAAGTATTGAAATTTAAATGAAAGCTAAATTCCTTAATTATAATTATTTTTCCTAGATCCTGCAATAGAAAATTATCTATATTTTGAAATACTTTACTTTTGTTTCATCAAATGGAAACCAAGTGTTGAAAATTTCTGCATTCTTCTAGATATAATTTTTTTCCTAGCTCTTTGATATCTTTTGGTAGAGGTTTAAAGATTTGGGAATTAAGAAAATAAGTCCCAAGAGCGTTCTTTACATGTAAGAATATCTACATCTGTACTTTGTAAGTAAGAATTTTAAAAGGTTTCTCTGCATCTACCACACAGATCTTCATTAAATGAGAACAAAATGTATCTGGAACTGCTCATGGAGTTAAAGCTCAGAGATGAGAAGGCAGCTGCAAGATGCAGAGATTGCACATAAAAAGCATTTAAAAATACTAACCCTTGCATCTTCTGACCCCTGTTCCAAAAATTCTTAAAATAACCACCACCACCCCCAAAAAACCCCAAACACTTCATCCCAAAAATTAGAGGGGAGGAAAAAAAAAAAAAGGATGGGGGGGAAGGATATAATGGGCCTATACTTGGTATTCTTGACTTGTAAACCACAAGAAGAATAAAAATGAAGTGTCGCCTTCTGTCTAACATTGAAGACAGTGTATAGTCCTCAACAGCTTTTTTAATTTAGGAGGAGGGAAAAGAGGGTTCTGAATAACACAAGATCCCTTTTATGTAGCAATTTTTCAATATTTACGTTCAACTACTTATAAATTAAATCAGATCTGTTCTAATTTAACAAAAGTTCTATGCACATGTAGTTTCAAGTGTATTTCCCTGCAACTTTTCAGCAAAGCTTTCCCACAATTTTGATTTTCAATTTATATTAAGCACATACTGATAGGCTTTACTAAATAGGAACATGGTTTTATGTATGCTCAGAAGTAAGCAAACTTATGAATGTTGTGTTGAATTCGGTCCTTGATGAGAAAGCATATATCGATGAATTAAAGGAACAAGAAACTCTTAACTAAAGCTGGTACTTGCAGACAATTGCTTGATCCAATTCAAACCAATTCAAAGGAACGGGCACAGTGTAATATCCATGCATGGCTATATTCAATAATTGCTTGTGACAAATAGTGTTCACGATCAAAGAGACTGTTAGCACAATCCACATAATGGTTTTCCTGAAGGATGTTTGTTCAGATGTGAAGGTTGGATTGTGTATCATTCAGTGGATATCAAAAGGAGAGCTCCCCTCAGTCTGCCTGAGGCATGATTGAATTTAATGCTTGTGGGGGGGCGGGGGGGGGGATGACAAACCACAAAAAACAACACAAAAAAAGCCCCCCAAAACCACACAAAAAACCCTAGAGACAGTGAGACAATAACATTCCCCGAAGGTGGTCATCTTTGACAGATTTGGTGGGAACATTTAGCATCTTTTTTTTTTTTTAGTGGGTTTTTTGGTGTTTTTTTGTTTCTTTTTTAATTCTTGCTTTTATTGTCCAGAATCTATACTAGGTCTTCAAGACTGTTAGTCTGAACATGAAGGACAACATAAGCAGAGTAATTTTGAATATGAGCACTGGGAAGCTGAAAGATGCATCATGTTACTTGTATTTTACTTGCAAATATTAAATTTGTCTTTTGAAAGACATAAAGATATGCAGCCATTGGCAGAATTATTTATATAACATGTGCTGCATTCAAAACCAGCAATAATACAGACAAATTTTTATGCCACAAGGTAACCTTAGGTTTCTTCAAGAAGCCTATAAACTGGAATGGTGAATAGCTACAGCCCAGAGTTCTCAAGGAAATCAAATAAAGCCCAGGAGGCCGATTTACATATGGAAACGAAAACACAATATAGATTTATAAATAACAACAATGACAACAAGGAACACTTAATTAAAAGTTATGCACCCTATGGGTATGTCTATAGTCAGCAAAGCACAGTAATATAAAAGTACCCAATTCCAGATGCAGTTTAGTTGTAGTAACACAGACCTTTTATATGGTTTACTTTATGCTATGCTACATATTCTATTGCCGCTACCCAAAGAACTTGTTTAGCAGTGTAGACATAAGCTGAGATAACAAAAAAAGTGCAGTGTTGTAGAGCGAGAAAGGGGATGTGGAAACGTTATCAGGTATTTTTCTTTAGAAGTATTCTCTACTACATAAGGTAAGTGCACTTTTAGAGCAGTGAGATCAGCTACGTTGCCAGACAGATCACGTATCTATGACAGTGTTTGAGACAGGAGCTGTGAATTACCCTCTTCTGCACGTCCAGTTCAAAACAGACTGAGACAGGTTTTCAGTGACCAGAATTTGTGGCATTTAAGCGATTCTGAAAATTCTGGCTAAAAGATAACCAAAACTTTTGAGACCTAACACTTTGAGAAGGTTTTTGTACGAGTTTGAGACCTTCATTAGGAAGCATCCAGATACTTAATGACCCCCCACTTATTGCCCTAATTTTAAATGGCTTTTTCCTAGCAGAAAGCATGAAGAATATTACAGTATCAAAATACCAGAAATGGACAGACCTGAATCCATTTCAGTTTTGTTTTGCTAGATCCTTTTAGCAGTTAGCAGAAGTGTAGCATCTGCGTTTAGAGCAGAACAAGGACACTAAATTCCATTTTTAATATTAAAGAAGTTACATTATGGGTTCATTGAATGCAGTCTCACACTTCAAGTGGCATGCGCAACGTAATAGAAGTTATAACAGAGAAAGAATAGTACCATAATTAAACTTATTGATTAAAGAATTTTCTTGTAATTAGAAAGACAAAATAAGTGGCGTGCCTATTAACTGAGCAATAATTCCCTGAAAGGAGAATATTTCAATATCCTGACAGACCATATTGCTTCTGTGGAAGGCTTTACTGTATTTTCAGTAAGTCAGTCTGGTCTGTCACATACTCAATTTTTAATGCCAATGCCAATGACAACATGTGGTTTTAAATGCAGCTACATCTGCCACTGTTAATTACTGAGTCATCTGACTGCTATACTGGAAAATAAAAACACCGTGATGACATGAAAGCATTGAAAAAGCTACTTGCCAGAAAGCCACTTCCTTGTGCTACACAGCAAATTTTCTGATCCTGAGAGAGGCTGTATTTAACCATGGCAGACAGCAAGAGGAAGGACTTCTGCAGCAGACCTTAGTAGCAACCTAAACAAAACCTGTTGCATTAAAAAAAGGCTACATGTGTATTTCAGCACCAGACCTGCAATAGACTTGGTCATCAATAGAGCCTTCCTTCCTGAAAGAACAAGTACTACTGTTTGTAGAGAGAAGGCTATGTAAGCACATACAGACAGAGGTTTATTAAAAATATTTCTTTAAAAAATATGTTTTATTAGTGAAATGGAGGTGTTAGTCCTATCGCTCTTGTACATAAGACTTACTAGCAGTCTCATTTTTCACAAAAAAAAAACCAAAACAATGCCTTTTGATTTAAAACAGCAAAGACAAGACTCTAGAAGATCAGCACATTTTGAAAATGCAAGTATTGAATCATTAGTGATGCCTATGCATTTTAAAGATCTGTAGCATTTAATGATGACAGTTTATTTTATTAAGCTACATACAGTTAAAGCAGATAAAATCAAGTCATTGCTTGAATACTAATGATAAGGAAAAACAGCTTTCAAAAAGTACCTTTCTTTGAACTGTTATAGGAAAAGGAAAGGGAAAAAATTACAGATGGGAAATCCCAAAACAGAGCAGCCAACCTAATACTGGCATATCATGTGAGAAAAGAAAGAGGGAATTGTTACTAGCAGAAGCAAGAAAATTGAAGTGTTTACTAAAATATAATCCCAGAATAGAGCTGCCAAACTAGTGCATATAATAAACAAACATAGAGACAACTGTCACTAGCAACAGCAAGAAAGCAGAACTTCATTAGCAGAACTAAAGATTCATCTACACCAAAGTGTGGCAGCACCTTAGAGAAACCTCAGAAATGTCTGAGCAAGATGGTATGTTGACACAGCATAGACGAATGCCACATAAGGATACTAAGTGGGTTCCAAAGCAATATAACCACTTTAAAACAGTCCTGTGCCTGGATTTCTGAAGTATCTCAGATGCTCCTTGTTCTGGAATTAGTCCATTCTGAATAAACAGGGAGTTACTGTCCCAGGCCAAATAGCAAACCATAGATATCTGCTTAAAAGACAACAACAACAACAACAAAGCACCCCCTCCCTCCAACCACACACCCAAAAAAACCCCAAAGCACTAGCCGTGATTTAGCAGGACTCTTACCACCTTAGAAGGTTGAACCCTACCATGAGAAAAGTAGCAAGTAATCACTATAACAGAAGGGAAGAAGAATAGATGTTTCTACATCTCGTATACATAATTTGATCACTTCAGATCACATAGAACTATGACCACCAAATAAAACTACTGATCATCTATAGTATTTTCTTAGTTTCACAGAATTACAAAAACAGAAAGTGCATTGAAGAAATAAGGGGCCATTCCAAAGTGCTGTTTTACTCCATGCTTGCTTGAACTTTACTCCACATTTGAAGGTATTAACTACTTTCAGTACTTGTGAAATTGCTATACTTACTACTCCCCACCACAGGGCATCTGCATAGCTGCCAAACTCTGTTTCTCCAGAATCATTTACAGCATCTTTTTCAGCCAGGTACACAAAATAAGAGGAAAAAATCAGGCCCAGAAATCCAATGTAGAGTGTAGTTATCAGTTCCTGCAAAGAGAAGCAAAATAATGGCATTATAATATTATTGAGACATTTAAATTACCTATCACTGATGGTTTTTAAAATATGATTGGAATAGAAGAATGGAATTTTAGCAATTAATAAACATTGACACTGACTGTTGGCTGTGGAAATTAACAAAAATCCACTGAGCTTAATGGTGAAAGAATTTACACCATAGCTGATGACTTGGTCCAGCGTGCACATTTCAAACACAGGGTCAAAACAACCTCCTCGCTTGCAAGCGTGACTCATTAATCTTTTGGTCACCAAAAAGTAGTTGGGTAATTTTTTCAGACAGTGCCACATTCAAAACAATTTTGGAATTTAGATACATGTTTTTAGAAATACTCAGACTACTTTTAAGAAGTCTCATTTTCTGTGGTTAAGTCCAACTACAAGCCAAAAGTTTGCCAAAGTGAAGGTGAATATTTTTAATCTTTTAGGAACTTTTTGTCCCTTGAACAAGGCAGAACAACCATACTTGGTTAAAAGAGATGACTGCCTGCCTCCACACTAAATATATTTGACATCATCAGCATATCTGCATACATGCTGTTCCAAATATAAGGACTTTTGCATCAATTATTATGCTATTCCTCAGAGTACTCAAACTTACTTGTCTGTGTATGAACACTACTGATCCCAGTAGCCTCCATGTACCACCCTGACGGTCAACATGCAGCATTCGTAAAATCTGCAGAAAACGGATGCCCCTGGAACGCAATTTTTAAATGAATGAAAAGACTAAAGAAACAAGAGAAGAAATAGAGGTGGAGAGGGGAAGTCTGTCTCTTCCAAAGGACCGTTTTAAGAGAAAGACTTTTATTTTTTATTAATTTTTATGTTAGACTTAGCAGCCTATCCCTTTTCACTCCGTTCACCCGTCTTTCGTCTTGTTATGAAGACAGCATGGGAAGATTGCACGAGAGAAGGACAGACCTTTCTAAACATGGCTAGTACAGATAAGTCAAGGATTCAGGAATTTTGGACGCAGGCTGTGAATGCTCTAGAAATCATTCATCAACTCATATTTGACCTGCTCACCAAGATGGGAAACAACATACAGAAACAGCTAACTAAAGATCTGAGTTCCTCACCTTTGAGGAATTTCATAGGCAATTCGAACTAGACAGTACAATAATATTTTAAAATATTCTTTTTATGAGAGTCTCTGCAATCCTAGAGCACCACTGCAGCTAGTGAGCAGAGCACAGTACACTGACATGTACCCTGTCACTCAAGAAAACCAAGTGGTGTGACCTTCCTGAGCACGAGCTGGGTTCAGTCCATCAGGAGCTCACAACTACTAACCCCAGGCATTTTATGAAGAAGCAGCTTGAAGGCATCAGAGACATGAAGCATGGAAGAGTTGCTGTAAAACTGAGCCAAGAAACTAAAACAGGATTTGGGTAGAATCCACCTAGTTGGGGAAAGGGGGCAGGGGTATGTGCACCTCTTTCCATCAGATGTAAAGGCATTATGACCAGACAACACACTCAAAATTTTATTTCCCCTACATTTAATGGGATCACTGTTTCACACCAATACATGATTGGTGATCTGCTCTGTTACATGACTCTGAGCAGTGACTCATTTTCTCCTGGAAAAACCCAACACCTTACTCAGCACTATTTTCTTTTATTGCATATAATTACCTGATAGCTGAGGTTGCAAAGACTTGACCTTTAGAGCCCACACAAAGAACTATCATGGAAGCAACAACTACAATTAAATCTGGAAAATAAAAGTCAATTGAAAAAATGAGTTAGCAGCATCTTGCAATACTTCTGCAAGACTGTTACTAGAACCAATGACAATATTACTGTAACAATTTGAACAGTCACCCCAAATTAAGAGTTTTGTTTATATATCAAGAGATCTCTATTGTAACATATGAAGAAAATATAATTGTGCGATTGTAATGTACGAAGAAAATATAACTGTGTGATATGATAGAAAGGTTTTACTGGGATGGGTCCAAGATGGCCACATTCTAGATGAATGATGAGAGTGATGTAAGTTACTGTAAAGCAGCCTCAGCAGCCTGGAATCATTATTAGCTATAACCCATGAGGAATTTCAGCAGTTTCTACCCATTATCTGTTCTGTGTATCTTATTTTCTCTGCTGGTGTAGACAGTATTTTATTCATTGACAGAGGTTTTGGGGTTTATTTCATATATAAGACAAGTGCCTTACTATTATTTCATCTGTCTAGGTCTAAAAGTGAGAGAAAAATTGGAATTAGTGTGTAAATCTAATTTAGTTTAAGTCAGTCATTACCCTAGGACTGTACTCTAAATCTCTGCGCATCAGGCCTAGTTAATTTTGGAAAGGAACTCCATATTTTGGAGAGTGAAATAGTTCTTGATACTTATCTGGCAAAGCAGAACTTTGTTTTGCTTTCCAAGATGAAATAAACTGGATGACGTTTCAGAACCCCTAGTGTTCTAGGTCTCAAGAGAAATGGATTGTGGACAGAGTGCAAAGATGCAGTCAAAGCCATTTTATAGTTGTAGTCACACCTGAGATACAGTTGTTATTTATATATATGCACAGAGAAGCTAAACTAAACTATTTTATAATTGTAAAAATACCCAGGTACAAAATTTTGTAATTTATATTCAGCAAAATTGTAGATAGCTTATGAAATACTATATCCTCTACTCGACAACAAATAATGTTTCCAAGTAGCGGAAAAAACTATGTCACAGAACAAGAATTACTGTGCTTCTATAACAATACTCCTCTTCCAAAATCTGATTCATTTAATCCATCTATATTTTAAGTGCTTCAGGGCAAGGGTCTTTACACAGTTCTCTCAATATTGGCTAACAAAATACAGATTGATTTTGGATTATTATGTTTCTTTCACTGAAATTGCTAAATGCATGACAAGCATTCTAAAACCAATAATTGTTTGTGACATATATGGAATATATGGATGTAATTTCTAAGAACACCAAAGTCATGTTGGGAAGCCAACTGCAGCGAATATCAAGGGCAGTCTGGTGCCCAGTTTCAGATGCATCACTGATAACCATATTTTAATCCAATAGATACACAAAGTAAATACAGTGCATCTATCATGCTCCACCATGCAGTACATAGCTCAATTAGAGTGCAAAATAAACTCATAAAAAATTATTCAAATGGTTGCTGGGCGTTAAAAAAAAAAAAAAAAGCTGTCCAGTATCAAAAAAAAATACAGTTGTAGCTATTGTATGGTGTCTGGGATCCTGAGGTCACAGGAGACAGGACTATGGTCAAGACTTATTTCTGGCAAAGCTTCAGATCACTTGTGAAAAGAAAACACTCTGCTTTTCTGGAAAAAACAAGCCAAGCTACATTTGTTCTCAAACGACAGTGCCATGGATTCCTGAAAGGAAATTCAGATCTACGATAACGCTAATGACAAGAGCTCTTGCTCTAACTTGGCTTCAACTACTGCAGAAATTCCATTTCTCAAAACTTTCAAGGACAAGTTTTAGTCATTGTTTACGTCAACTTTGCAAGCTGTGCATACTCACCAATGATTGAAATAGGCTTCCTAGCAAAACGAAGTCTTCCCCATATTCCAACATATTTACTGCGGCATCCTGCTGACCATAACCGAACCACATATTCTGTTCCAAAGAATACCACTAATACAATTTCCTAAAAGAAATAGACAGGGAACTAGGTTAATTCTCTACTGTATGTCTCTCATATTTTTGCAGAATGTATTAGGAAATGCTAAAATAAAATGTAAAATTTGGAAGGTGAAAAAAATGTCAACTATACCAAAATGATCTCAAGTAACACAGAAAAATCCGTAAGACTAAAGAAAGAAAAGATTAAGAGCAAGTTTAAATACTTTAATTGCACACAGTTTGGTTTGTCTACACGTACTAAAACTGAAGACCATTCTCTGCAGTTCAGTTGGTCTAATTCAAACAAAAGGTTTCCTGACTGAGCCAAAGAAAACAAGCAGAGTCTGTATTCAGAAGATGAGTATTTTGCTAGCTTATTTCATTTTGGGAAGAGGTGCGCTTTACATTCAATTTACTGTATCAGCTTAGCCTCCCACTTATTTATACTTTTTCAGTCTTCCTTTAATCTCACATGGATTGAAGAAAGATTTCTAGTAGCCATTACCAATAGGTCAGTTTCCAGGTGCACTGAAAACATAGTGAGATCTCAAGCATGCCTTTCCCATCCTCTTCTCAACAATTAGAGACTTCAGCAGAAACAGAGATCTAGTCCTGAAGCACTGCTGGTATCAAGCTACGTGTTAACCACAGACCTATGCTAAGGTATGACTTGGGAAACGCCATACAAGTGATAGGTGTCAAAGACATCTGACATTCTTGTTAATTAGACAGAGGTACAATTATGTCGTATTTGGAATTTAGTCAATGTGTAGATAAACCTTGCTTCCTACAGACTGGTTGAGCATGGCATACTCAGCATAGTTTCCTCGAGTATCAGGGAGCTGCAATACTCCCCTTATTGGCCAACTCGACTAATAACTGGTTGTATTCTCTATCAGACCCAACAGCAAGATCTACTAATTGGAATTATAACAGTGGCTTGTAATTGAAAACATACAAGACACGGCATATGGAAAGAGTAAAGCAGGAAAACCAATCATAAGGTATCACAGTTACATAGATTAAGAGAACGAGCTGCTTATTTCATAGAATTATTTAATATAAAGAGCAACTGCAGAGAAGACAACATACTGCTCAACATTTTATCCAGCCTCCTCACATTTCTGCAGGGTTCACTGCTGGTTTTTGTAACAGATTGGCAAAGGGGATGGTACCTATGATTATCTTCTAAATTAAATGAAATAACCAGGATACAACCCTAGTCCAGTCAAGATGAAAGGGAGTCATATAATTAGCTTCAAAAATGCATGGGACATTGCCCTGAGTACTGAGTGAAATAATAGGTCTGTATACAGCAAGAAGAGGGGGAAAAAAATGTTATGTATCTGTTGACTTTGCTATAACCTTTTTGTGGCTCTAAAAAGCCAGTCTCCTGATGGCATAACAAACTGTTCATCTCAGGGCACTATAGTGTTGAAGTTTGACTCAATGATGCTTCTAGAAAAGCTAGGAGAACATCAGCCAGGACACTTGCCCTTTGTTTTGACAATCTCATAACCTGTGCAAGATGTCAGATGCAGCAGAACAGCTATCACAATTGTTTATAGTCACTTGTATTCCAGATAGATTTTCAAGATATAATGAAACTGTCCAGATTGTTGCTTGTAATAAACATGAAGCTCAGACCCTTTGACTCAGCCAAGAACCAATTCTACAGCTTCATTCTGAAAGGATCTACCAGAATGCTTCACCTTTTAAAAAAAAAAAAAAAAAAAAGACTATTATTAAATATATTTCAATAAAATAAAGTCATAATGAATGTCATAAATCTAAAGAAACAGTATGTGCAGCAGATGCTTTAAGGAAAGCCTGTGTCTTATGGCAGAAGCTTCAAGCGCAATGAAACTCTCCCTTCGTCCAACTTCACCTAATGTCATTTACAAACCTACAGTGAATGGCAAAATTATGATCCCTGCTTTACATGAGGTGCTGTTGAATTGTCACAGCAAAATAAAGCACCTGAGGCCATCTTTTCTGATCAGGTGATTGTATTCATTTCACAGACATAGTCAATAAACTCCAACATCCAAGTACTCTTCTGTATGCAGGAGGCTAGTACATCTCCTTTCATCACTACCACAGAGGAAACTCCCTTAACAAAAGACAATAGCAACCATACAGGGAGCAAAAACTGTCTTTCATTCAAAATAACTAATTTGAGGAAGGAATGTATAGCTTCACATCGTATGTGATAGCACAGATAATACTGTTCAGATATCCCCTAAAGCAATTACCAAAAGCAAAAGAACAACAACAAAATTATCTCAGTAGGCAAAGAAAAACCCAGAGAAAAGTTTAGGTTTTAGCACAATGAAACCACAAACAGCACTCTGACCAGGCACCGTGGCCTTGTCAGGATCACAGTTTCAGTTTTATAGCAAGAAGGTAGAAAGTGAAAGCCTGGATTGTGCTTTAAAGAAGCGTGTATTCTCTGCGTAGGGAATTTGCATCGGAGTTGTGCGCCTATGTTTTTTAAAGGCCCTCCATGGTTCATTGGATAACAGGCACACCGGCAAGTATGCAAATAGGGGCTGTCCCAAAGACAATGTGACAGACACGCAGTCAATGGTTACTGTCATCCAGCTCTTTGCGTGACATGCAGACAAGCTTAGAGAACATTGATTGTCCTATAGACGCCGGTGACTGGAGGGAACGACCAGTCGGCTTACACCAAGACACATTTTTCACTCCTGACGTTTTGATAAAGGCTTATTGACCTAAATGAGACCCAAGTTATTCAGGGAACATCAGGGGTGAAAGTGCACAAGCTGTTCTTCATGGTCATACACAAAAACTCCAGGTATCCATTAGCAACTGGCAAATTCCCCCTCCCCTGCCCGTGGCTATGTGACAGACAAAAGTGTTTTTAATATCTTGTGTTGCGTAAGTCTAAAAAGTAGTCTCTGGGCGGTGGGGGAGGCTGATGAATTTCTGTCCATACACTTATACTAGCGGCCAGAAACTTGCAGACAACAAGGAAAATTGCATTAGAAAATTATGCCTTCCTGGGCTACAGACTTATGGCCTATATTTTCATGATTAACAGCTTAACATGGAACTTTACATTAACTAGAAGGATGCCAACCTGGTCCTTAGTTCATTTCTGCTGGTGATAATTAGGGCTAATTCCATTTAATAGCAGGTACCCTGGCAGAAAGCAGCAATGCCTCACACCTGAGAGTTCCAACAAATCTGAGTTGCACTACGGATCAATTTGGTCCACTGTTTCTTCGATACTTTCTCCTAATTGTCCACTTAACACCTATCTACTAAGTGTACTATGAAAAAGTTTGCGCTTCTCACAAAGAATCAGCTAGACTGAAACATCGCTTCGAGAAGCTGAGATAGGAAAATGGAAGGATGAAGTGCTGAGCAGACAGAGAGGATGTAAAGAATGAGTGAAATAAGAAAAAAAGCCACATTCAGCGCAAGGGAAAAATTAAAATACAGAGAAAATAACTGCCTGCAAAACACTAGTGGGAGTGGGGATTAAAGCTCAGTGGAGGAGTTTTCCTGGTTAAAATTACAGACACACAAGAACTGCACTGTGCATGTAACTTAACTGTGATCTCCTTTCTACAAGGTCAAAACAGAAATACAGCACTGAGATAAAAAACTTATATTGACATGGTAAAAAGAGCCCTCTGAGATGTGACAGCAGTGTGGGCATACAGGAGCCCTCTTGCTTAGGAGAAGAGACTTTTTTTCCTTTTAATTATCAATTTGTACATGGTACTCTCACTTCTGCCATCCTTCCTCCTCAGCCCAGGCATAGGGTTAATGCCATCTTCATGCCTTCTCAGCCACATAATCCAAACACAGCCAAATACCAGATTAACTCTGGATGAAAAGGTAGAGAAGATGAACATGAGATACACATGTAGATCACTTTTCTTGAAGAACTCTATCAGTGTCAGTAACCATCCAGCTGCAAGCAACTCCTCACGTGTAAATTCACAACACTTTCAACTGTAAGGAATAAGCAGATGAGAGTAGTGTAACAAGCCCTGGGCTTTTCTACTGTGGTACAGTGCGTGGTGAAACTACAATAGATCTCCAGCTAGCCATTTAGCAGACGCCAGGGAATGAAGTATTTCTCATGAAGACCAGTAAAGGAGCTTGAGTCCTCACTGGTGCATTGGTGCAGGAGTGGGGTCAGCATGTGGGATCCATTTCAGAAGTCTTACGACAGATTCTCCTGTGCATCTCACTACGCACTTTCACAGTTTTGACATGGAAACAGAAGTTCCTTTGAGCTGATCAGGTATTACATGAACAGTTTTGGGAATCGCTTCAAGTATAATGAAAGAGCGATCAAAACATAAAAATTATCCTCAGCCCGAGACAGACATGTCATAACTTAATCATGTGGCTAAAGTACAGCTCTCATCACCTGATGAAAGAACTTAGGCAAGATCCATAAAAACGCAGTCCCCTCACAAACACACCCATGCTATTTGTCATTACAGCCCATATCTCCACAGTTCCCATGGATTAATCACAGTTTCATAATAGCCCACAGAGGGAACACACAGAGAACAGCTCAAAGAACAGCTGTGATGAAAAGCCCATGTATTAGGTTTGACTTACACTGAAGAATTGGACCTGCTATGGGTAAGGCCACTTTTAACTATCACCTTGACAAACTTCAGGATGCCATTAGGCAAAAGAACAAGAAAGTCCCTTCTATCAAGAGGACAACAAGGAAAAGTTACTTATGAAAAGGACTGTGACTGAATTGAAGGAGGAACCAGACTTCGTCAGCTGTGTGACTGGAGTCAGATCTATGAAAACAAATACACACAAGTATATTAGAAAAATGAATATCTGGTTTATTTTGCTAATAAATACATCTTGAAAAGCCTTTCTTTTACTACTCCATCCCCACTGGATTGGAAGAGCTACAATCCAATGTTGGGAGGCATCCAACATCCACACTGCGAGGTAAAGTGCAGTAGGAACTCCAAAAGCAAGGACAGAGTCCCTAAACTTAGCTGAAGGACA